ATGTGGGTTAGAATGGCCGGTTGGGCCATGGTGCTCCCGCCCACATCGCCGTGGCTTCTTTTTCCCAGCCCGCGCCCTCCTCCGCGTTGCTCCTCGCTCCTATTGCACACATCTTCAGCGGCGCGCTTCTTGGGGAACCGCGGGCGTCAGGGTTGCTTAGCGCTGTCGTGTGCAGGTGAAGGTTGCAGTGGCAGTGCGAATCCTTTCGCTGTGCTGGCTGAGACGTGGTTACACCTGATGGGGCTGTGCTCCATGGAAGAAATTGTGCTCTCTAGCGCGCTGGCGTGCTCGCAGGCCTGAGCGGTGCGCCAAGAGGCGCTTCGCTGCTCGCTGCGGTCCCCCGCCGTGGTGTGATCGGGGGAGAGGAACTCCCCCCTGGATCACGCCCGCTACCGCGAATGCTGGGAAAAACAGGACCCAGGATGCGCAGAAAGTAGGCATGTGCACCTGAGCTGCTTTTCGCTGCGGGTGCAAGCCGAGAGTTCTTCTCGGCCCCAGGGCCCAAGGGGCGCGCTGCACGTAGCAAGTGCACTTGATGGGGGCTGGGATTGCTGGGGAGAGGGGGGGCAGGTTTCAAGCAGTGGCGAAGCGTCGCGGCTCGCCTATAGGCCCACCAAAGAATGTTCTAAGAACCGTTTGTGGTTTGCACGAAATGTTCTTAGAACATCTCTCTCTCTCTCTCTCTCTGAGTCTGTCTTGTTTTAACACATCGGGCCTATGTTCTAAGAACAGTGTTTTTGTTATCAGCACACTTCTGGGTTGTAAGAACATTTCGCGGTAGGCCTGTAGGAATGCTGGGACGGTCGGTCCCTGCTCAAAGGTCGGACGCATACGGGCAGGGTCCGGAGGAGGGTTGATCAGAGGAGAACGCATACCGATGCCCGATGCTATTCCCTCGTCCCGCCCTGTGTGGGCCTCCTGTGGGACCCTCGTCGCCACGGCCGGATTCGAGTCGGGATCTTGGTCAGACCGCATCCCTGGAGAGGTCTGGGCGCTGGCGGTATCGGTGTCGCTCTGTACCCCCAGTTGCGGGCGGAGCAGGTGGGGGTCGTCCATCCTGCCAGGTACACTGTGCCTGGCAGTTCTCTCCACAGACCTCCGAGGTCCACAGCCCGAACTCTTCCCCAGGGCCGGCTTTTTGGCCCCTGGAGGCCGAAACTTCCGACGAGCTGTCGGTCTTGATGTTTTCCGGATGTTGGAGGTCTGATTTGGGTGGACTCCAGCAAAGCGCTCGCCTGTCGGGAAGCCGCACCCCCCTTGGCCGCGGCGCCGACGGCAGTTCGGCGGGTGACCCACGCGGATCTCGAGCCTCGCCATTTCTGCAGGGCGGAGAAGCGCGGAGGAAGCGAGGGGAGGCAGAGGAGGAGGAGGAGGAGGAGGAGGAGGAGGTTCGAGGTTCGAGTGCTTAGTTTTGCGAGAGGGTTTCCTGGCTCGGCGGCGCGCCGGGAGGAAGTGAGAAGGAGCAGACCTTGTCAGAAGGCGGCGAGGCTTATCAGAAGCCTTCAGCCCTCTGGGAAGTGTTTTGCGTCTTCGGGGAAGGCGTGTTCAGAAAGCCCAACGCCTTCCGAGTGTTCTGAGAAGGACGCCCCTTCTCACTTTCCCCCCAGGCTAGCCGCCGACTGGAGGTTTCTCGTGACTGGGCCTGCTGGTGTCTGCATGCTCCCTTGTCCCAGTAGGAGCGGCTGGCGGGTTGGTCCCGACCGGGCCGGTCGGCGCCCAGGCCGCCTGCGACTGCATCCAGGATGTGCCGGCCCTCCGCACGGAACCCATCGCCATGGCGTTCGCCAGGAGGGCCCCCCCCCCCGAGCTCTCGCCCTGGCCTGTCGTGGGCGACCGCCCAGACCAGACCCGCCCAGGCCACACCTCCAAAACGTTCCGCTGATCTCGAGCATGGAACCTCGATCCTCATCCTCGATCTCCCTCCTCCTCTTCCTCTTTTTTTTGCATCAAGCGTACTTCAAGCGTTAGGTTCGCAGCGTTCTCCTCCTCCTCCTCCTCGTCCTCCTCGTCCTCCTCCTCGTCCTCCTCCTCCTCCTCCTCCTCCTCCTCCTCCTCCTCCTCCTCCTCCTCCTCCTCCTCCTCCTCCTCCTCCTCCTCCTCCTCCTCCTCCTCCTCCTCCTCCCCTCCTCCTCCTCCTCCTCCTCCACCCCTCCTCCGCCTCCGCCCCTCCTCCTCCTCCTCTCCTCCTCCTCCTCCTCCTCCTCCTCCTCCTCCTCCTCCTCCTCCTCCTCCTCCTCCTCCCCTCACTCGAATACGAACATGCTTGCGCGCCCGCCGCCACTCTGGCTCACAGCGTGCACGTGGACCTATACAGCATAGACAGGGGAAAAGAACCGCCGCTCTGCTATCTCCCGTGGTACCAGTGCCGCCATGTCTTTTTTGCCGCCACCGCCACCGACAATTCTAGTTGGTAGCGAAGCCAGGAGTAACCACAGCTCGCGATCCACGGAGCTGCGCATAGTGCGATGTGGATGCATATTCGCACTCTCCACAATCTCTTCATTAGATCCGCCGTTCGCTCCCCGAGCAGCTTATGCTTATGGCTGTTCTGCAAGCCGAATGCCAGTTCGCCCTGGACGCTCACAGGCTACAATCGAAACGTGCGAGCGTCCAAGTGCGCAGGGCCTCAGCAGCTGCAGAAAATAACGCAATGTGGAGCAATTCGCCCACGGGAACGCCACGACGTTCCCCGACCCATCGCACCCCACAGGCACTGGCCGCAGCTTCGCGTCGGGCATGACTGCGAGGCCCCTCCCTGTGCTAGTGTCGTGCCTCGCGATGTGTCCGACAGTGTTGGCTTACCTTGCGAGCACGTCGCCCCACGCGATGGAGCACTGAACGTTACTGTGTTTTTTTCACCACCACCCTTGGCACCAGTCAAGGGCAACAGCACTACTACGGCTGCCACCTATTTCAACATGGTGTTCTGCCCTCTTGGGGCCTTCTTGGGGCGTTTCAGGGTCGTCTTGGCGGCCATCTTGAGCGTTTTGGAGGCCTCTTTGGCAGTCTTGGGGCACTTTGGGGACTGTTTGGGCTGCCGCTTGGGCCGTTTAGGGGGCCATCTTGGAGACCTCGTGGGCGCTTTGGGGGCGATCATGATGGCCTCTTGGGCCGTCTTTGGGCCGTCAGAAGCTTGAAACTGAGCAAAGAGCAACATCCTCCACAAACCCAAGGAGCATCAATGATGTTGGCCTCTCTGGGCCTTCCTGTGGACCGTCTTGGAGGCCTCTTGGGCCGTCTTGGAGGCCTCGTAGGGCCTTCTTGGACCGTGAAACCAAAGCCTGCGAAACGTTCGGCAGGCCATGCACCCCTGTGGCAAGTCCACAGTGGGCGGCGGATCTAGTGGCCTTGGGCCCATCCCGCAACCGTGCTTGGGTTGTGGGCCATGGGCCTCTAGGGTGCTTTGTTTTCTATGTCGCGGGAAGCCTCTCTGGGGCCTCTTGGGGGAAGTTCTGGGTCCTCTTGGGGGCCGTTTTGGTGCATCTTGGGGCGTCTTGGGAGCCTCTCGGGGGTCTCTTGGGGCCTCATGCGTGCCTCTTGGGGCATCCTTGGGGCCTCTTGGGGGCTTCTTGGGCGGAAGCATCGGATGTTCGGTTCGTGCTCTCCCTCTTTGGCTCTTTTTGGGGCTGTCTTTGGGCCGTCTTGGGCGCCTCTGGGGCCGTCTTGGAACCCTCTTGGGCCGTTCTGGGGCCCTCCTGGAGGCCTCTTGGGGCGGTCTTGGGGGCCTCCTGGGCCGTCCTGGAGCATCGGAAGTTTCAAAAGATGATGACCCCAAAAACATTGAAACACCGAGCGTGAATCAATTATTTTGGCCTCCTCGGAGCCCTCCCGGAACGGCTCGTCTTGAGGCGCCTCGAAGGCTTCTGGGGCCATCTTGGAGCCACCTTGCGCTTTTTGCACCGGTTGTGCGGCGATGCGGGGCCATCTTGGACCGTCTGGGCGACCTCTTGAGGCCCTCTTGGCTCGTCTGGGCCCTTTCGGGCCCAGGGAAAGTCATGCGACAAGACGTGGCGCGCCCCGAGAGGCGCGCGACAAGCCTCGGAGAAACCGGGAATCTCAGGTCCAGAGTCCTCAGGACTGAGGACTGAGGCTCAGGGGTTGACCCAGGGACCCGGAGACGCCCCATTTCGTGCCACCACAGGGGCACAGTGGCGGATCCCCATGCCTAGAGAGCGTTTTTCCCCAACCAGTGCTTGCACTGAAGGGGTCCTAGCGGATGTTGAAAGATTTGGCGAAAGCCCCGGGCCGATTTCGGTAGCCAGCTGGGTTCCCAGTTCCAGTTTCCTGGATTCTGGGTTGCTGGTTCTGGGCCGATTTCGGGATCCCACGATCGAGCTCACCATCGATTGCATGATCGATCCTTCAAATGTTTCAAACAATCATCTGGTTGGCGTTTTTCCTTTGGTGCATTTATTTAACATCCCGGGCGTTACCAGGAGTGGAGGGGGGAGGGGGCGGAGGGCCGGTAACGTCACGCTTAGAGGGGGGGCAACAAAAACACGAAGGCAGCCCGGTCCGCACGCATCGTGACGTTGCTGGAGGGGGGAGGGGAGAGGGCGGCGGAGGCGGGTCACGGCCGCCATCGCGAGCAGCAGCAAAAAAAACACTCCTCTACTCCTCTGCTCCCACTCCTGCCTCGTAACGCCCATCGCGGGGGGTACTGGAAAGCAATGTGGTCAAAGTTACGACTCGGAATGCTATGATGTCTGCTGCCTTCCCTCTCGCGCCCTGCCCCATGCGCCCCCCTGCTTCTTTCTTCCCGCCTGTTCCCTCCTCTCGCTATGTTTGAGTCGGACCTGTCCCTCTACAGGGGGAATAGTCAAACATAGTCAACAAAAATAGCAGGGGACGAGTTGTTGACTATGTTAGACTATGCTTGAGTTGTTGTTGGCTATGTTTTATCTGCCGTCCAAAAAAAAAACCTTGTAGGAGGACATGCCCGACCTCATGCTACGTTGCATTCCCACTCCGCCTCCTCTCGCCCCACCCCCCCGCGCTGCAGCAGCGCGGCTCGAGAGCCGCGCGGGCGCTCCCCTTCCGCCGAGCTGCGGCGCGCGCTGGGGCCTTTTTGGGGGCGGCTTCCCCGCGGGGTGAGTGCTTCGCAGGGGGGGCCGCCCGGGCGAAGGCTCGTGGCCCGAGGAGTGGAGGGAGGGATGGGGCAGGAGGTCCGAGGAGGAAGAGATACCCATGCGGCTACCCTTCCCTCACTGTCGACTTTGTGGGCCTCTCCTCGGAGGCCCTGGTCGCCACGGTTGGATCCGCCTCGCCGCAGGAGAGGTCCGGGGAGCAGCGGTCTCGGTACCGTTGGTTCCCTGGACGTGGGCTGCGAACCACAGTCGCGCGCAGCATCGGCGACCGGATCAGAAGCGCGTAGATTGCAAGCTATGCTGAGGCGGCACAAGAAGAGGTACAGCCGAGACGCTGAAAGAAGGAACAGTTCGGCTTCGGAGGGGGCTCGATGTTCCTTGGGTCCTTACATGGCAGTTCCTCCAGCCCTCCTCGTGCACCCAAACTCTTCTGGTGCCACAAAGCGGTTTGGTTCCTTGTCTAACGTTCTGGATTTCAGCAGCCCGACTATAGCCTCATTCCGCGGCGACCTCGCACGCGTAGATGCTATCTGTGGCAGGCGAGCGAGAAATTCTCAAGGCTTGTTCGAGGGAGCCCAACGCCCATTGATCGCCGATAGGGGCCCGATGGCCCCAACCCGCCCAGGAAGGTGCGGATTCGTGATCGGAGGCCCATCGCCGATCTATCGACGATGTATGGCCGATTCCAGGTCGACGCATCCCCCCCTCTGCCAGCCCCTCCCTCCCGCTGCCCCTCATGGGAACGGGCTAAGATGTCAAGGGGCCGCGCGCTGGCAAACAAGGATTCACGGCGCCGGCGGTCTGGGCATGGGGCCGGCAGGCACACGGGGCCCGACGATCTTGCCGCACATCGGCGATGCTTCCGCGACGTCGGGATGGAGAAAGTCCGACTTCTGTGCGCGCAACCGCACCCTCCTCCTCCTCCTCCTCCTCCTCCTCCTCCTCCTCCTCCTCCTCCTCCTCCTCCTCCTCCTCCTCCGCCGCCGCCGCCGCCGCCGCCGCCGCCGCCGCCGCACCGCCGCACGTGGCGGCGGTGCGGCGCGCTCGCTGGACCCGGGCGTGCCTCCCGCCGCAGAATGCACGACGCAGAGGAGAAGGGGTTCGACGGTGTCGCCGTTCGCGCGTCAGCTGCCTCCTCCTCCTCCTCCTCCTCCTTTCCATCCTCCTCCTCCTCCTCCTCCTCCTCCTCCTCCTCCTCCTCCTCCTCCTCCCCCTCCTCCGTTCGCGCGTCGGTTGCCTGCGAAAAGGTGTCGTGTAGGCGCCCTCGTTTCTGTTGCAGCGCACCGCGCGGGCGGCCCGCGCAAGCCAACGCGTAAGGTCGACAACGACGACGACGACGACGACGACGACGACGACGATAGTGACGGCGACGCCGAGGACAACGAGGACGACCACGGCCACGACGACCACGACGACCACGACGACGACGACGACGACGACGACGACGACGCTGCGTCATCGCGCGTGCGTAAGGCCCGCTTCGTTTCGCCGCTCACACGTGGGAGACCCCGAGCCGCGTGCCGAGCAGCGCGGAGGGCCTGCTCGGCGATGCGAGGGGCGCCATGGGAGAGGCCCGCCCCTGGGGGGAAAGAGATCGGGGGGAGGATCGAGGTTCGAGGTTTTCGTTTGTCGAAGCGCACCAATCAGGAGGGGAAAAAACACACAGACACAATTAATCGGCGATTCCCAGGAACATATGGGAAGATATGGGAAGTGGGGGGGAAGACAAAAACCCAGAAAATATTGGAAAATATGGAGACTATTTTTATTTGTGTGTATTTATGTGTGTGTCCTAATTTCCCTTTAACCAAGCTTTGCAAACATTGACTGTCGGATCGGCGCGGGGCCCCCCTGGCGGCGCCGGAGGCGCCGCCCTGGGCGCGCTCCGCGCGCCAGGGAGGGGGTCCAGCACCGATCTGAGGCATCAGCGCGGACCTACGAGAAATTTTATGTTTACGCATTTGTTTGTTTCCATTTAGTTTTGGCCGTGCCAAGGGGGGTTCACCATTGGGGTTGCCGCCAGCTCCTCCTGGAAAGCGAGCTTTTGGGATCGAAGCTCGAGGAGGTCCTTGGACGTTTGGGGTCGCTCTGGAAAGCTCTGGCGTGCTCTCGGGGGCCGTCTTCCTCAGGGAACGGCCGTTTCTTCGATGCAGTGGCGAACCCCCTTGCATTGCCCCGCTCCGCTCTGCGCCGGGGGGGGGGCGCTTGGCAGCTGGAAGTTGCATTAGTGCGGTGTATCGCGCGTTCTTCCTCCTCCTGCTCCTCCTCCTCCTCCTCCTCCACTTCCTCCTCCTCCTCCTCCTCCTCCTCCTCCTCTTCTTTGTTTGATCTCTCTCTCTCTCTTTCTCTCTCTCTCTCTCTCTCTCTCTCTCTTTTCTCTCTCTCTCTCTCTTTCTCTCTCTCTCTCTCTCTCTTTCTCTTTCTCTTTCTCTTTCTCTTTCTCTCTCTCTCTCTCTCTCTTCTCTCTCTCTCTCTCTCTCTCTCTCTCTTTCCAGCAAGCAGCAAAACATGTTTTTTTGTGCCAGGAGGGGCGAACGGTCGGGCCCGCCCGGCAACGCGACGGGACGCCCACGGGGGCCATAGGAGAGCCCGCCCCTCGGAAGCAGAAGTTTTGGCAGGATCGCGGCTCGAGGGTTGAGCTGCTTTTCGGTCTCTTCGTTTTTTTGGGGGGGGCCTCCCTCGGGCTAATCGTCTCTACGGCTAGCCTCTCCAGAGTGGAGCCCCCCCCCCCCTTGGGGGAAGGGAATGGAAAGGGGAGCGCACCAAGGAGGAAGAGGATCGAGGGTCGACGGTCAAAGTTTGAGCTTCGAGGAGGCTTCTGGTGGCCACGGCTGGGGTTGCCGCCAGATCATGACCAGAACGCACACGCACACACCCACACACACAGACACACCAGCACACACGCACACAACAGGAGAAATTCGTCGATGGGTTTTTGAAAGAAGGAGGAGGAGGAGGAGGAGGAGGAGGTCCGTAGCCATTTTGGCTCAAGCCGTTGCCCGGAGCCTCCCCGGAGCAGGGAGTATTCGTTTAGGGCTCAAGGTGCCAAGGCAGCGCCACGAGACCCTACCTCCACTTTTTGCTTCACCTCCTCAGGCACACCCCCGTAGGGTGCATAGCAGACGTTTTTTGCTCATCTTCTGCTGCAGCGCGCAAATGGCTAACGAGGGGATATTCCATGACGCTTTGGAACGGACGCAGGCATATCCCACCTCCTAGCAGAAGCGAGAGATCGCCGACCAGATCGACAGTTTCGCCACCTTCCCCGACTCCGAGTCTCAGCTCACCCCCCGCGAGGTCGTTGCGCCACAACGTGCCAGGTCTCTTCCCGCCGATCACCAAGCCGAGGAGATGGAGCACAACGCCAGCGAGCCACCAACCAGGATCTCGACGGTCTTAAGGCATGTGTTGACGATACTCGTGCTGACGTCATGCGCACTCTGGTAGCAGTGAAACAGAACTTGGCAGCTGTTGGTTCGCCTTTCGACACGCACTGCGCGAACCTTGAATCAAAAACGACGGGCGGTTTTGGCGACCCGACGGGACCTGGGAGAAACGCGGGAGGCACCGCACCTCCGAGATATGATTGTTGCAGGTAGCTTGAACATCTCCCCCTCTCCGCCCGGGCCGCCGGTGCCAGAGGGCGCGCAGGACCCAGGCGTGGGCCACGCGGGTTGGCGAGCCGCGCAGGACAGGATGCGGGCCCCCCTCTTCTCCTCCCTCACGGAGATCGAGATCGACGGCCCGACCCACTTCTGCGTCGCCAACTCCCCCGCCTGCGCGCTCGGCAGGACGCCCGTTTCGTTGCCGGGCTGGGCCGCGACACAAACGCAAGCGACAGGCTGCACAAAGGGCCAGGTGAAGGCAATTAATCGCAGGGGGGCGCCTGGCCGCGATGGCGCCGCCGTGGATTTCCGACCTTCCCCGCCCAAGAACCCAAAACGATGCTTATCCCCAGGGCGATCTTCAGTTCCCCCATCCTCGAAAACTACGCCCAGGCCCATTTAGACGCGCGCGATCTCCCCCAACTCGATCGACCCTCCCCCCGCCCCCCGCCGCCGCCGCCCCCGCCGCCGCCCCGCCGCCGCCACTGACTCCAGCTCCGCAAGACGCCGCGCCGAGACGCGGCCCGACGCACGCGGAGGCGATTTTGATGAGGGAACCCCGCGCCCGCCTGACCAAGATTACGCCACTGCGCCCCATTGCCCGCGCGGTCTGGCGGCGCGACGTCAGACTCGGCAGCGCCCCGGCGCAGGCGCGCTCTCTTGAGGCTGAGCGCGCGCTGGTCGACGTCGCGACCAACTTTGCGTATCTGCGCGGCTCTGCCGAATTTCCTGATTTGCTCGACCGACTTCAGATGGGGGACCTGGGCGCCGAGGTCCAAGGCCAACAACGGGCCCTGCGGGCCTCCAACTGTCCCAGCTGTCAGAAGACAATTCGACAACGGCTCCGACGCATACAAACCAGGGCTCGCATCTGGGCCCCGTTCGATCGGCGTCCGGTTTTGAATGCAATCGAAGTCGACGGCGCGGCCCATGCGGATCCTGGGCAGGGGCGGATAGAGATCTCACGGTACTGGTGAGAGGTGGTATCGCCTAAATCGATAGCTCGCCCTGCCGCTCGCCGTTGCATTGATCGCCTCGCCTCCCACCGCGACCTTTCCGACCTCCCACCTCCAACCTGCCGGCAGATCGAATCCCACCGAAGGCGTCAACGCCACTCTGCTCCAGGCCCCGACAGGCCCCCGCACGCAGCGCGGCAGCAAGCCCCAGGTGCAGCGGACGTTCTCCCCGCGTGCCTCTGGCGGATTCTCCAAGGCGGCGCGCTTGGATGCGATTCTAGCCCCCTGATGGGCGCCCTCCTTCCCATGGGATCTCAGGAAGGGGATAGACTAGAAGCTGCTCGATCGGCCGGGGGCCCGACAACAAAGTATTGGTGGGAGCGCGCCCGGCTTCATTTTCTCGACGCCGGGCGTCGATCGCGCGTTCTGCGCAGCGAGGTTCTATCTCGGGCCGCCAGTCTGGAGACAACGTCACCCAGCTAGATGCGGCCGCGAGACGGCATTCCATGGCCCCCATCCGCCACCGCCGACCTTCCTGCCTTCATCTCCTTTGACTTCTCCCAAGCCTTTCCTTCTCTCGCACACGACTGGATCAAGCCTTTCCTTTTCTCGCACACGATTGGATGGCGATGGTCCCGGGCGCCCTCCGACCCCCACCTCCGCTCCTCCACTTCATCACCCATATCTACTCCAACGCGGTGTGCTGGACAGTTTTTGGCGAAGAGATGGTTTTTTATTCAACATCGGTTCTGGGGACATCCAAGGGTGCCCAGGGGGCGGGTTGCCCTACGCTGCGACGACTGACTGTGCCCCCTGGAATTCTTCCAACACCTCTAAGCCAAAAACCGAGAAGAGATGAGGCCTGCGCAGATGACGCAAGCGCGGTCATTCGCCGACTTCAGCACGTGGAGAAGCCACACCGAATCTATATGAATGCCGCCGACCTCGCCGGCCTCATTGTGAAGACGGCGAAGTGCCTGGTCGTTCCGCTCAGCGGCCCCCTTTCCCAAGCTCTCGCGGCACTCTACAAGCAGAAAATCGGCGCTTATGCGCCTGGATGGACTAAGTTCGGGGTCGTCGAAGACCTCAAGTACCTGGGGACGTGGCATGGACCGAACGCTGAAATTAAGAGTTGGGGAGATCCGACAGCGACATGGAGAAAGCGTGGGCTCGCACTTGCAGATTCGCAAGTTCCCGCCACCATCAAGCAGAGCCTGTATGTAATGAGAGTCGCCCCATCGCTGGGCCACGTCGCCCAATTCTTCCCTCGCCCTCCGAATCTCGCCCGACATGAACACGCTATGATCGCTCGTATCTGTCGATTCCCCCTCCGTGGACTGACCCGCGCTGCGTGGCACAGCATGGACTCCTGGGGCAGCCCCGAAGCACCCTCCCTGGTGACGCTCTCCCTCGCTAGTCGTGCGCGAGTGGCCTGCTCGACCCTTTGCATCGCGGCACTCGGCACTGTCAGCTCTTGACGCTGCTGCGCTCCATGAGTTGGGGCTCGCTGCCTACTGCCGAGGCACAAGAAGTCCTTCCTGGTGGGGTTCGAAAGAAGTTCCATGGGAACACATGACCGAGGCAGCCAACGGATTCCCGATGCACAAGATGAGCAATCGGCTGCAAACGCGCGAGGTGAGCCCTAGACGGAAATGGCAAGCTCCAGCGAGATTTGGTGAATTCTTTTTCCCGAACCCTGCTCCCCGGTGACAGGCCCACTCTTGTTTGGCAGCCGCCCGCTGCCCCTTCTCCTGGCCCCGGCAGTGGAGAGCCGCGGCCTCGTCTGGCCTCTGATCCCGACGGAGGCTGCAACCAGGTCCCCCGTTCGCTGCGCGCAGGACTCAGCAGTAATCGGCGCACCGAATCCCACTTTCAGAAATCAGATGTCTCCATTCGCATTTTCGGGTGCCCTGGGGCCCCAGATAGTTTCAGCCACTATCTTTCCTGTCCTCGCATGTTCACCCTTCTTCGCTCCCTTGTCGACTTTGAGCCTCGGTCCCCCCCTCTCTCCTTCCTTGGCCTCGCGAGTCCGCCCGTCGAATCAGTTCGTCTTCCGACTGCGGCATAGATGCGCTTCACGCGGAAGCCACGGCAGCAGTGCGCCAGCGCGGCGGAGCTCCCTTCTCCGGCGACGAGGCCAGCGCCCTCCTGCCTGCTGCCCGTTTCTCTCTGCAGAGGTAATTGCTGCTGAGGGTCAGACGCTCGGGCGCGCTCGAGGAGGAAGAGGAGGAGGACAGGAGGGAGAGAGGAAGGAGAAGGAGGAGGAGGAGGAGGAGGAGGGTAGGGAGAGAGAACGGGGGCAAGGCTAAAGCTCGGGTGGCATTCCAGGCCAAGTCCGCATGAATGGCAGCATCATCACCGGTATCATCGCATGCCGTGCGTATCATACACGCGCATGCGTTTGCCAATGTGGACCACGAGCAGTGATTTCGCGCACCCTGGATGCGCAATCTACGCGGTACAAGCTACGCTGTCCTAGATACGACTCATGATGCAAGACAGTTGGCGCAATATATGTAGTGTACGCTATGTGGAGCAATCTGCGCGGTATACGCTGAGTTGCGCTAGTTTTGCGGTGCCAGCATGGTTTGTAAGCTACGCGTTGCAAATTATAGTGTGCAAGCTAAAATATGCCAGCTACGCGGTATAAGGTACGTAGTTTCAGCTACGTGGTGCAGGCTAGTTGGTGTACGCCTTTTGGTGTACGCCATTAGACGCAAGCGATGTGATGCAACATATCGATATAGGTATACAGATCTAGACATATCTATCTATATATATATATATATATATATATATATGTATATATATATATATATATATATATATCCTATCATATATCATATATCATATATCATATACCGGGGTACCGGGGGCCAGGGCCCCGGGCCAGGACACCCTCCCGAATTCCCCCCCCCCGAGGGGCCCCCAAGAAGCCCCAGGGGTGCCCCGAGAGGCTTTCCAAGAGAGCCCCAAGAGGCTAAAATCATAGATTTTCATTGTGTGTTTTCAATGTTTTTTGCTTGCCCGCGTTTTCGGGTTTCTGACCTTCCAAGATTGCCGAGGAAGCCTCGAACATCGCCCCAAGACGGCCCAAAAGGCCCCCGAGAGGCCCCCAAGACAGCCCAAGAGGGCGCCCAAACGGTCCAAGAGGCGCCCAAGACGGCCCAAGAGGGCTCCAAGACGGCCCAAAGAGGTGCCAAAGAGGGGGAACACGAACCGACAATGGAGATTTCCGCCCCAATAGGCCCCCAAGAGGCCCCAAGAGGCTTCAAAATGCCCCCATCAGAGACCCCAAAGAGGCCCCAAGATGCCCCATAACGGCCCCCCGGAGGCTTCGAAACATTTCAAAATTGCCTCCCCCCAAGAAGCACTCCAGAGGCCCCACGAAGCCCACTGAAGGCCCCAAAGAAGCCCCTGCAGTCCGCAAGCAGCCACGGACGAGCCCCCGTTATTATGTTGCGTTTTCCGCAGAACTTCATGTGGAGCATGTCTTGCACTGTTCGGGACACTGTTGGAACCCTGTTGGGGTGGCTCTGGCCCTCCAGAGCCGTCAAGAGAAGGCCAGGTGCCCGGAGGAAGGCCCCAAGGGGGTCCACAAACAAGACACGCTTGGAGGTTCTCGCGTGACTTGAGGTCGCGCCCTGCTGTAGTCGTTCAAGGCCTTCTTGGCACCCTCCCAGGGCCTCTCCTGGAACCGCCCTTCTTCTCCTCTCCCCTTCCTTCCGAAAAGTCTCCCAGTGGGTCATGCCATCCGGCGCATTCGTTCCTGGCACAAGCGGACGCTGGGGCATCGGTTCCATTATTTATATTCCCTCCTCTCTCTCGCCCCCCTCTCCTCAGTCCCTCCTTGCCCGCTCCCCCATACATATGGCCTCGCTTGATCGAGTAATCATCTTGTACAGCGTGAGCTCCACAGTGAGATGGGCCGCAAACACCCAACGAGACCCTGGACCAACCCCCGGCGGCGCCCAAGAGACCCTTCTCTGCTGGGGCCAGGCCCATGTTGATTTTTCAAACCATGCTAAAGCCATTCGTCGGTACGTGCATTCGTGCAGCCGTGACTTTGTCAATGCGCGCAGCCGTGGTATTGTCAAGCGCCTGCGCTTGCTAGAACCTAAGCGCGCGCGAAGCGCGCGCGTGGTTCCAGTATACATTTACACATGTACGGCGCAACGTTTGGAGTACAAGTTTTGTGTTGTTAACTATGCGGTGTAAGCAATGTTGTGTATGTTATGCGGCGCCAGTTAGGTGGTTCAATGAATTTCGGTCGTCTCGAAGTCGTTATTTCCACTGCCCGCGCAAACGCCCCAGCCTCCCACTCGCAATATGTTTGGCGAAACGCATTAAGCAAAGATTGCGGTTCCCGATTGGAGCTCGTTTGCGCGTCTCTGCGGCCGCGCTGGCCCGCGCACGCTCACGCGCAGAGCGGCAACTTAGTTTGGCGCAGCTTATGCGGCCGCGATGGCACTTACCGATGGGACCTCCCCAACGCATCTCAAATGCCGCGGTGGCGCGTCAGTGCGGATCCGTGACTCGGGCGGGCGCGAGATAATTGACGACATGGAACCGAATCTGATTTTCCGGTGGGAGCTTCTGTTTCACTTCGATCTAACCCCCAAACCTCCGATACGTGGGCCATCGTGGTGCCTTTTCGGTTGTTTTCTGGCCGCTTCTTAAGCCGTCTTGGGGCCCTCTTGGGCCGTCTCGGGGCCCTCTTGGGGACCTCTTGGGCTGTCTTGGAGCGTCGGGAAGCCGGAAAGGCGAGAACGCCAAAATCTTTCAAATCCTTTTTCGGAAATCAGTGATGTTTGCCGCTTGGGGCCCTCTTGGAAGGCCTCTTGGAGATTTTTTGTGCCGTCTTGGAACCCTCTTGGCTTATCTTGGGGCCATATTGCGCATGTTGGAGCTATCTTGGGATGATTTGGAGATTTTGTTGACCATTTTGGGGGCCTCTTGGAGCCATGTGGGCTCGGCTTGGGACCCCCATGGGCGGGGTAGGCCGACGCGAGCGATTACGGCAGACACCGGGCTGGCCCGAAAAACGATTGGTCCAGGCCTTTAGAGTTGCAAGTCTGGTTGCAGCAGCAGCAGCACAGCATTCTCCAGTGCTGCATGAGCCTCGGGGCACTCCACGTCGTGCCAGAGGCACGATGACGGATATATGTGTAGATACGGGTTGTAGCATTTGGACGCGCAACTGGCAGCACTTAGAGACATGATGCATGGAGACGTCGAGCGATACGTAAATAGGCACACATCGATGCTAAAAGGTGGACCGACTTGATTGTTTCCTCTGCTCCAGCCTGGATCACCAACTTCGCCGTGTGATCAGCAGAGCTGGCAGGACGCAACGAAAAATGTATTGAACATTCCTTGGCTGATCTTATTCTACTCGAATGAACTTCCTTTCTTGGACCGATCTCGAATTCAATTGCGTCGCGTTGTCCTGCACTGTTTTGCATCGTCTCGGCTTGTTTTGCATTGATTTGATGTGTTTGTCTTTGTTGTTTCGCTACATGGCTCCCATTCGTATCGCACTGCATCGCCCAGACCGTATTGCATTGTCTTTTAGAGGCAATGCGTATCGTTGCGTTGCTTGTGCGACACCTGGCATGGCAATGCATTGCATTGTTTCTCAGAGGACAGGTGCTTATTGAGAAAGGTTGAGATCATTGAGTTGGGAGGCGTCCTGAATACACCCGGCCTCGGAAACCTATCGCCATTGGCCCCCCTGCACAATGATTCAGGGTGTGTTGATCAATATTGACTTCAGGATCCAAAGCAAGAGACGATGTTTGCCGCTTGCGACGGGGACTTTCCAGCCACACGATGAGTTCGTCGCCCATTCCGTGAGCCCTCTCTCCCTGGAGCCCCGAAGGCCCCGCGCTCTGACGAGACCGGTGATGTGGCCGAGTCGAAGGTTGAGAACCAGGACCACGACACCAACGAGAGTGTTTTTGTTTACCCTCTGGGCCACAACGCGCGTTACGCCCCCCTCTCCCCCCACAACGTAACGCTCCTCCCCGCCCAGTGTGTCCCCAGCACTGCCGCAGAGCGTCCGGCGCCAACGCGCCCGTCCTTGCTTTTTGTTGCCGGCCATGCTCTGGGCTTCCCCGGGGGGGTTGGAGCACGTGGAGGCGGTGGATCGCGCTGCGTTGTCGATGCGTCGCCGATGCATCGGCAATGCGGCTGGATGCAGAACCCGATGCTCTCCACGCGGACGGCGCTGCTGCAGCGCCGACGTCGCGGATGCGTCGGCGATGCATCGGCGATGTGGTGAGATTCTCCGACCCTATCTTCTCCGACCCCATCTGGGAGGCCTCTACATGTTCAGTCAGGCTTAGGATGAAGATCAGCCGCCAGAGAGGGGGACGAGGGGGAGGAGGAGGAAGAAGAGGAGGAAGAGGAGGAGGAGGGAGAGGAGGGGGAGGAGGAGGAAGAGGAGGAGGAGGAGGAGGAGGAGGAGGAGCGTTCCAGAACTCGTTCCCAGAGCACTCCAGAGCGTCCTCGATCGGCCGCGGCGTCCGATGTGTCTTCCAGGGCCCGCTGGCGTTGGGATCCCGAGCTGTCGAATGGCCTTCGGCCAATTCCGCCACCGTGCCTGGGTTGTGGGTTCGTGCCCTCTTGGGCCCGAAAAAGACACGCGAGAAGACGCGCCAAGCCCACGAAGATCTGAGAGCGAGGGACCCGGGCCCCTTGAAGACTCCTCAGGAGTGAGGATTGAGGCTTAGAGGATTGGGCCCAGGACCTGAGGACACGCCCACTCCGTGCCCAGCGGCACGGTGGCGGATCTAATGGCCGTCGGGCAATCTCGCCACCGTACCTGAGTTGTGGGTCAGAGGCCTCAATGATGTTCGTTGGGATGTCGCGGGAGGCCTCTTGGGGGCCGTGTTGAGGCCTCTCGGGGCGCCGTTGGGGGGCCTCTTTGGGGGCGTCTTCGGGGCATCTTGGGGGTTCTCTTGGGGCCTCCTGGGGACATCTTGGGGACTCGGATTTTCGGTTCGTGTTCGCCCTCGTGGGCCTTTCTCTGGGCCTTCTTGCGCCGTCGTGGGCGCCTCCGGGCAGTCTTGGAGCCTTCTTGGGCCATGTTGGGGCCCTCCGGGCGGCCTCTTGGGGTGGTCTTGGAGGCCCCTTTGGCCGTCTTGGAGCGTCGGAAAACCGAAAAGGCGAGAATGCCAAAAACCGTCACAAACCAGAGAGGAATTAATGATTTGGGCCTCTTGGGGCCCCCTTGGGGGGCCTCTTGGGAGCCTCTTGGGGCGTCGTGTAGGCTTCCCGAGCCGTCTTGGAGCCATCTTGGGCGTCTCGGGGCGATCTTTCGGCGACTCGGGGCTCTCTGGGGCCATCTTGAGAGCCTCTTGAGGCCCTCTGGGCCCGCCTTTGGGCATTCTTGGGCCCAAAACAATCACGCGTGAAGATGTGAGAAGCCGCGGCAAGCCCTGGAAGATTTGGCAACTTGGGCTCCAGACCATTCAAAGCCTTCTCGGGAGTGAGTACTGAGGCTTCTGGGGAGTAGGCAACGGACCTGATGACACGCCCACCCCGTGCCCGATGTCGGCCCAGTCTCATACTGTGGAGGCCTCTGGCCTGCGCCGCCGATCCAGGGCACTCCTTGCCTTTGTAGGAGAGAGGCAGGGTGAGGGAGGACAAGAGGGAGAGGGGGGAGAGAGAGAGAGAGAGAGAGGGAAAGGGAGAGAGAGAGAGAGAGAGAGATGTGGAGGACGATAGAGAGTGAGAGAGGGAGGGAGACAGACAGGCAGGCAGGCAGGCAGGCAGGCAGACAGATAGACAGACCGACCGACCGACCGACCGACCGACGGACAGGCAGACGGACAGGCAGACAGACAGACAGACAACAGGCAGGCAGCAGACAAACAGACAGACAGGGAGAGAGAGAGAGTGAGAGATACATAGAGAGAGAAAGAGAGAGCTACAGAGGAAGAGAGAGAGAGGGGGAGTACCCGAGGAAGGAGGACGGAGGCGGGGGGAAGGCACGGAGAGGAGGAGGAGGAGGAGGAGGAGGAGGAGGAGGAGGAGGAGGAGGAGGAGGAGGGTGGAGGAGGGTGGAGGAGGAGGAGGAGGAGGAGGAGGAGGAGGAGGAGGAGGAGGGTGGAGGAGGAGGAGGAGGAGGAGGAGGAGGAGGAGGAGGAGGAGGGTGGAGACGGTCTGCCGTCGTCTTCGAGGTCGGTGTGCGCGTTCGGTCGCCGACGGCCTCCTCGCCGCCACGGCCGGGCTCGGCTCGGCACGAGCACCTGCCGGGGTGCGGTCGGCGCCTTAAGGGGAGCGCGGGGCGGGGCAGGGCGTGAGTTCTGCCGGGTCCGGCGAGGCAGGCACCTCGCAGCACCCCCTTCTGCGTGCCCTTCTCTCGAGGGTTAAGTCGGACATGTCCCCCATACAGGACGAAGATTCAGAAATGGCCCATCAAGAATCAGGGGGGCGATTGTTGCCCTATTTTTGGATACCTTTCTCATTTATTTTCCGACTATGTTGGATCTGTCTTGCAAAATCCGCCTGCAGGAGGACATGCTCGACCTAACTCGAGAGCCTCCTCTTGTCATGGTCTCTTTCGTCCGCCGCTTCCCTTGCCCACCTCATCCTCCCTCCTCTCTGTCCAGCCTGCCGGCGAGTGCGGATCCCTCCCAGGCCGACGGTGAGCGAGCGAGCCCCTCCCCCATGTCCCCCCCCTTTCTCCCCGCCCCTCCCCCCTGCGAGGCGAGGACTCACAGTAGGTTCGTGTCGTGTCGACCGGCTGCGACCCCACCAGCGGCATTCAATTTTGAACACCGCTGGCGACCCAGAATCGTTCGATTTGGAACGATTTGGACGTTTCGGAAACGGCCGATCGTTCAAGGTTGAACGATCCCCGCTGTGTCAGGAACCAACGCCGGGGTCGACACGACGCGAACCTGCCGTGTACATGCCCACCGTCTGGGAGCCGACGTCCTGGGGACACAGCGGGCGGGCGGTGATCCATAGCCACCGCCCTCACAAAGGTCCGCGAGAATCGATCACCCAGGCTGTGGTTTTGCGCGAAACAGCGTGTTCTACCGCTGCTGGCAGAAAACCGGGGGGTGTCACTGGGGGTTTCAACCCGCCCCCCCCCCCTCTCGAAAACCAGGGGGGGTCACTGGGGGTTCCACCCCCCCCCCTCCTCCCCCCCTCGGTCCATCATGAAGGGGGGGGGGTCACTACCGGTTCGAACCCCTCCCCCCCTCCCCCCTCGCCGCAACGACTACCCCTCCTCTCCCACCCTGGATGGGGGACTGGTGGGGACAGTGGTTGGGACGATGGTGGGGATGGTGGTGGGGAGCGGGGACAGTTGGAAGAGTGGGACCGTGGTGGGGACAGTGGTGGGAGCAGTGGGGGGCAGTGCGACAGTGGTGGGGGCACTGGGGCACTGGCGGGGACAGTGGGGACAGTGGTGGGGATTGTGGGGGCAGTGGGACAGTGGTGGGGACAATGGGGACAGTTGGACAATGGTGGGGACGGTGGTGGTGGGGACAGCAGTGGGACAGTGGTGGGGACGGTGGTGGTGGGGACAGTGGTGAGGGCCGTGGTTAGGACGGTGGTGGGACAGCGGTACAGTGAGGAGTGGTGGGGACAGTGGGGACAGCTGGACAGTGGTGGGACAGTGTGGACAGTGGGGCAGCACAGTGGGACAGCGATGGGCACAGTGGGAACAGTGGGACAGTGGTGGGGACAGTGGGGACAATGGGACGGTGGTCGGGACAGTGGGACAGTGGGCAGAGTAGGATAGTGGTTGGGACGGTGGTGGGGACAGTGGGGACAGTGCGACAGTGGTGGTGGCACTGGCGGGGAAAGTGGGGACAGTGGTGGGAACAGAGGGGACAGTGGGATAGTGGTGGGGACAGTGAGGACAGTGGGACAGTGGTGGGGACGGTGGTGGTGGGGACAGTGGTGTGGTGACACTGGGACAGTGGTGGGGACAGTGGGACAGCGGTGGGGATGGTGGTGATGGGGACAGTGGTGAGGGCGGTGGTTGGCACGGTGGTGGGACAATGGGACTGTGGTACAGTGGGGAGAGTGGGACAGTGGGACAGTGGTGGGAACAGTGGGACTGCTCAGTGGGACAGCGGCGGGGATAGTGGGGACAATGGGACAGTGGTGGGACAGTGGGACAGTGGTGGGGACGGTTGGGGGAGTGGGGAGAGTGGGACAGTGGTGGGGGCAGTGGTGGGAACAGGGAGGACAGTGGGGGCATTGGTGGGGACAGTAGGGACAGTGGTGGGAACAGTGGAGACAGTGGGACAGTGGTGGGGACTGTGATGGTGGGGACAGTGGTGAGGGCGGTGGTGAGGACGGTGGTGGGGACCCGGGGGTCTTTTGCCGGCGACGACGGGGAGGGGGGTTCGAACCGGTAGTGACCCCCCCCCTTTTTCTGGACGGGGGGGGTGAGGGGGGTTCGAACCGGTAGTGACCCCCCCCAGTTTTCCGGAGAAGGGGGGGGGGTAAGGGGTTAGGGGGGAGGCTTTGCCGGGGGAAGGAAGGGGGGAGGAGGGGAGTTCGTGCAGGGGGGGAGGGGAATTTTCGAAGGGGGGGGGAACCCCAGGTTCCGGAGGAAGAGGGAGGGGAATTTTCCACAGGAAAGCGGCGGTGGATCACGCTCTCTCGCATGAGCCCCCGCCTCGAGCCCCGTTCTCTTGCGGCTCGTCCCCCTGCTCCTCCTCCCCCAAAGCGTCGCTGAAGTTTCAGGCGTTGCGTTTTCTGGCAGGACTGAGGATGCTCAGACAGCAATCCTCCGACGGGGCACTTCAGCAACAAAAGACGCATGCTTGAATCGAAGAAGAAGAAGAAAACAGCATAAACTTTAAACTGTTGGCGCTCCGCGCGGATCCAATAAATCTGCGAGGAGCGTCAAAGTTTATGTTTATGCTGTTCTGTATTCTTCTATTGTAGGAACCTGTGAGAAGGGAACTTGGAGAGAGGGTGTATGGCAACATCGTTGTTTCGCCTTGGGTTTACACTGGTCCCCCCCTGTTCCTCCTCCTCCTCGTCATCATCATCATCCGCATCATCAGAATCATCATCATCATCAGCAGCAGCATCATCATTATCAGTATAATTCACATGATCGCCACCAGTAACTATTATTATCATTATCCCTCCTCCTCGTCGTCCTCCTCATCATCCTCCTGCTCCTTCTCCTCCTCCTCGTCCTCCTCCTCCTCATCCTCCTCCTCCTCCTCGAGATCTCTCATGGGAGGGTGAGGTGGCGTCCAGGCAAAGACAGGCAAGGACGAATGCATCTGATTCCGCACCAGGAGCACGAGGACCAAGATCAGCTTGCCTCGGCCGTTTCTCTGAAGCAGGACAGCTTGCTGGTGTTCGACTGGGACGACACGATCTTGCCAACTTCGTGGCTCCTGCGCGTGAACGCCCTCACGGCCGACGCCCCGATGCGACCAGAGGTCCAGAGACAGGTGTCTGCCTTGGCCCTGGTGGCGCTAAAGACACTGAACATGGCCCAGACAATGGGGACCGTCATCATCATCACGAACAGCGCTCCAGGCTGGGTAGACCAATCGTGCCAGCTGTTCATGCCCCAGCTGCTGCACCATGTGAGGGGGATGCACATCGCCGCCAAGCCGCTCAACGCACCGCTCACGTTCAAAATCAACGCCTTCCGGCGCGAGTGCAGGCGTGGGAGGGTCTCATTTGCGTTCGCCAAGCCGTCCTTCCAAACCCCGTATTTTCACTTGGAGAAAGCATTGGGGAAGGGGGGCGCAACCGGGTCTGATTAGCAGGTATACTTTGCAAAGTCAAGGAGACCCGCATGTTTTCTAACTATCGCGCTTCATGTCCTTCATGTCTGAAGCACGAATTGCCCTTCAAAAGAGATCTGTGTCCTCTCGGGCGTTCGCTGCCCTCAGTCCCGACTGCAGGAAAGACCAGGCAAGCGCGTGCAATGAGACGCCCCCGAGGCAGTTCAGGAATATAGTTTCCATCGGCGACGGCGACGCAGAGCGGGTTGCGATCCTCCGTCTGCAGGGGGCGGACGCGCGCTCGCGGATGTCACCGACTGCAGCAGGCAGCGAGGACCGCCACCGCCAGTCCTCCTCACGGCCCCTCCCGGTCACCCGTCGCGGCAACAAAGAGAATAAACGATTTTGGCGGCTTCGCCGTTCCCGAAGGAAACAGCATACGGCACAAACATGTTGTGCGAGGTCCGCGCGGATTTCTTGGGTCGGCGCTGGACCCCCTGGCGGCGCCTGCGGCGCCGGCCTTGGCGCGCTCTGCATCGCCGACCCAAGAAATCCGCACGGACCTCTGAAAGTGTCAGTTTCTGCTCTTGGTCCGTGTTCATCGTTCTTCCCAGGATGAAGGGAGGGAGGGAGGGAGGGAGGGAGGGAGGGAGGGAGGGAGGGAGGGAGGGAGGGAGGGGGAGGAGGAGGAGGAGGAGGAGGAGGAGGAGGAGGAGGAGGAGGAGGAGGAGGAGGAGGAGGAGGAGGAGGGGGAGGAGCGGGAGGAGGAGGAGGAGGAGGAGGAGGAGGAGGAGGAGGACCCCGCCAGCGCTGACGGGCGGGTCGATGGACGGGCAGTCGGACCTTTGGACAGGCCCAGGCAGAACCAAGCTGAGGCCGACCTTGCTGACCTCTGCTGCCTCTTCGCAGAGGCCGGAGCCTTTCTGATGCCCAATCTCCCCCCCTGATTTCGACGTCGTGGTTGCTTCAATGCGCGGGCCCCGCAGCTCTCGACCCCTTCCCGGAGTTCCGTTCTGTCGGCCCCCATGGGTTTGGCTTTTATGGTCTTGGGGCCCAGAGATGGCCTCCAGAGGGCGACGTGGAAGAGAACGCTGGGGTTGGACGACGTCCGAGGCCTGGATCCCCACCCAGAAAAAAAACTGGAATGAGACGGTCTTGTGGTGTTAAGCGGTGGAGCGAGGGGCAAGTTTGCACATGTGAGGCGTTCCGAAAAGTGCCTTCCTTGCCTTCGAGGATCGAAGGAGTTGCCATCTCTTCCGCCGCGGAAGGCGGCGGAATGTCGGCGGAAGTGAAACAAGGCCGCCTCCGCCAACAGAAGCCGGCGGCAGGTGGCGGAAGTGAAAGATGCGCCCCCAAGAGATGAAAACGGTTTTGGGTTCAGCGTTTCCAGAATCCGCCATGTGTGTTCAGTGTAGCTTGGCGAAGTACAGGGAACCGATCAAAGCAGAGACAGAACAGTCAAACGCACGAGGATCTGCACGGGGCCAGCCGCTTGATCAAGTCCGTGAAGCTTCTCGAGCTGCCCACCTGCCAGCAGCTGATCTCTCAGCACGGCATGTTGCAGGGGCGACTGAGGCAGGAGCGGTAAAAGAGCTTTCGTCGCCAAGGAGAAAAATAGGTGCTGAGGGAACGGGGGTCCTGAGTTTCTTCGTCGTCGTATTGTCCTCGGGGCTCTTCCCGGGCCCTGGGACCTCGGGACGAGAAGCTGATCGCGGGGAACGTCCCGCTGTCCAGGATCCACTTCCCTCATGTCGAATTCGGTCAGGGCTGCTTCTGGCATCTGGCGGATACCTGGGGGAGTTGTTCGCTCATGCTTGTGATGTTCTGAGGCCCTAAGGCGTCGATTGAGATGTGTGCAGTTGTGCTCTATTGCAGTGGCCTCCGGCCAGTGCCGCCGATCCGGGGGGCTGGATGTTTGTGCGACAAAGGAGTGTGCAGGCGGCAGCGGTCTCCTCCTTTCTCGCCCTTTTTTTCGTACCCCGCCCCGTTTCTTTCTCTTCTGTGGTGTTCTTAGAGGGGGAGATGAGCTGGGGCTCTGTGGGCATTATCTCTTGGGCGCCGATTTGGGGCCTCTTGGGGCGTCTTGGGGGCCTTATGGGGGTCTCTTGGGGGTTCAGGGGGGCCTCTTGGGGCCTCGACGGGGTATCTTGGGCCGGGAGGCAGGAATTGTTGGTTCGGGTTTGGCGGTTCCGTGACTCTCTTGGGGCGTCGTGGGGCGGTTGTCGGGGTCTCTGAGACCATCTTGGGAACTTTTTGGAGCGTCTTGGACGTCGCGAAGACCGAGAAGCCGGACATACTAAAAATGAGAAATGAAATGGTTTTTGCCTCTCGGCGTCCTTTCGGGGGTGCTCTTGGGGCCTCTTGGGACGTCTTGGACGCGTTTACGGCCGGCCCGATCGTTCAGCGATTGTGTTGTACCTAAGAGGCCATGAGTTGTACATTTTGACGTGCCCGAGGCCCTTCAAGAAAGCGGAGCAAAGTGGAGCACAGGCGCACCAAGGCCCCCCCCGCCCTTTCCCCGGCAGAGACACCCCGGCAACCCCCCAAGCAGAGCTGAAGCTCAGGCTCTAGGCTGCAGCTTGGGATTTCGAACCTCTCACGCTGGATCGGCAGACTTCTGTTCTCCTGGACTCAATGATCTAATCCGAGATCCTGCAGGGAGGTCAGGAGACTGGGCGGATATATTTGGCTTGTGCTCGTAGACTGTATCTTTTATTCCAGCACCCGCACTTGGCGAGCCCGCTCTTGAAGGGGCAGCCCCATAACGACGCAAAACAGAGGCCGACCGCGCGGACGTTGGCGCGCAAGCTGCCCACGGAAAGGGCGGGCTGAAGCGCGCCTTCTTCTCTACGCGGTGTGACGCGCCAGCGGCCCGCGCAAGCCACCGCGTGATGCCGCCATGGTGCCGTGCGCAAGGACCCCATCTTCTTCGTCGCCCGTGTGTCTTAGATGTATGTGAGAGTGTGTGTGTGTGTGTGTGTGTGTGTTTGTGTTTGTGTGTGTTTGTGTTTGTGTGTGTGTGTTTGTGTTTGTGTTTGTGTTTGTGCTTGTGCTTGTGTTTGTGTTTGTGTGTGCTCCCGACAACAATCACACTGGGAATGACGATTCGTATCGTTGCTATCGCTGCCATCGCTGTTATCGCTGTCATCGCTCATCGCTGCTATCGTTCTTGTCGTTGTCACCGTTGTCGTTGTTATCGTTGCTATCCTTGGGATCTCCGCACGCGAGGGACGTGACCGCCTTCCAGGGCAGCCTGGACCTCAAAGCCCGTGCTGGCCCCGCGGGGGCGCAGTGCTCGTCGCCCAGGGGCGGGCCCGGCGCACAGCCGCTCTTCTCGCTGGTGCCCCGCCGCCCAAAGCTTTTCGCTGGCCAGGGAATCAGAGGAGGAGAAGGTACCGACCGGTCGTTGAAAGCAGTTACGGTAGGTTCGCGTCGTGTCGACCGGCGGCGACCCCAGCGCGGTCGTTCAAGGTTGAACGCCGACGGCGGCCCAGAATCGGTCGATGTTGAACGATCGGACGTTGCGGAGACGGCCGATCGTTCAAGGTTGAACGATCCAGCGCGGTGTCGGGAACCAACGCCGGGGTCGACACGACAGGAACCTGCAGTAGCTGTTTCTGGATTCCCAGATTCCAATCCATTTCAGGCGCCGTCCTGCTTCGATCGTCGGGAGGCTTCACTTTTCTCGTCGTCTTCAGAGGGCGGGGGGAAAAACCCAATCTGCTTTCCACGCCTTCCTGCTTCGTGCTTCTGCCCACTGCTTCCGACCGATGGGCACTGAGACCGCTGCCCTTCCATCGATTCCCTATTTTGGGGGGGGCCCTCCTGGGAGGCCCTCGCCGCCACCGCTGGGCTCGCCTCGAACGTTTGGCCAGGACGCACCCCACGAGGGAGGCCCGGGGAGCAGCGGTCTCGGTACTGTTGGCTCCCCGCCCAGGGAGGGCCCGGGGCCGCGGGGGCACACCGCGGCACCCCGCACGTGCAGATCCGAGGGAGGGGGCGCGGCGAGGTCGGCGGCAGGCACGCGAGGCGCCGAGGAAGGCCCGCCGCGGGCGCCGACGGTCGAAGAGCCCACGGCACAACGGAGCCCGCCGCGGGCGCCTAGTCTTCGTCGGAGCCGCGCGGGTGGGTCGCGCGGTGGGTCGCGGGTGGGTCGCGAGGGGGGTCGCGGGGGGGGGTCGCGGGGGGGGTTCGCGGGCGCGGGAGACGACAACGAACAAGAACAAACAGCAACCGCAGCAGCAGCAGCAGCAACAGCAGTTATCGGTTTAAAGTCGTTCACTCTTATCTGCTCGCGTACAACTCAGCACGTGTATCCCAAACCCTCGGTACCCGCCCTCTTCGTTTTCGATCGTACCCCCGTGGGGGCATATCTTCTTCACCTGCCACGTGTATTTCCCGCAGCCTTCTCAACAGGGGAAGAGGGGACGGATGGAAGGGGTAGGGAGGAGGATGGATCACGAGAGAGATTAGCAGGAGGGGGGCTAGCAGCAGAAAACACGGCAAAACCAGACGGGCAGATCGGGCGGGTCGGGAAGGCGGGCCCAGGCGGGCCCACTCGGCCAGGTCGAGCAGGCGGGTTGCTGAAGCGTGCGTCCTGAATGAATCGCGAGGAAGTCTCAAGCGATAGCGCGATTCCTAAGTAAATCGTCAGAAATGCCAAAGCGAGAGCGTGATTCCTGAGTGTCGAGGGCGCGGCGACTGAATAAATTGCAAGGGCGTCTCACGCGAGAGTGCGGTTCCGGTATCAGTCATGAAGAAGTCCTGCGCGAAAGCGCAATGTTTGAATACATTGTGAGGAAGTATCATGCGGGAGTCGTAGAATACTAATCACCAGATACTTGTAATACGAACAAGAGCAATAATAATATTAGTAGTACGAATCATAATAGTATTAATAATAATAATAATAATGATAATGATAATGATAATGATAATGATAATGGTAACGATAACGATGCTCATACTAATGAGAATAAGAGGAATACGAATAAGAAGAAGAAGAATGCGAGTTGCATTAATGATACAACTAGCAACACGAAGTACCATACGTAAAAGTATTTGTATTACTAGTACTAGTACTGCGCCCTGGAACCTTCGCTTCGGCGCCAGCTGCATTTCCTCTGAAAATTATGCTCACTTTCAGGCGTTTCGGGGGACCGCCGCAGCGCACGACGACGACGACGACAACAATCATATGAATAGTGTCCTTTCTTTCTGGCACGCGTGTCTTGCATTCTGTATACCCCAACCTTTGATACCCGCCTAATTCGTCTTCGAATGCATCCCCTTTCGGGGGAAATCTCTTCCTCCCTCGTCGGCCACTAACTAAAGTGCGAGGAACTCTCGAGCGAGAGCGCCGTTCCTGAGTTCGAGAGCTTCTCTGGCCAGAAGCTCTCGGAATACATATGGAGAAACATCGAACGGGAACCCTTGTCGCCGTGTCTGGGCCTCCACCAACTTGCCTGAACTACGAGAAAGTCTCCAGTGAAAGCGCCACTCTTGAGTTCGGGGGCCTCTCTGGCAAGGGCTTTTGTGAATACACATTGAGGAAGTATCGAACGAGAGCCTTTGTCGTCGCAGTTGGGCCTCCACCAATTTAATTGAAACACGAGAAAGTCTCGAATGAGAGCGCCACTCTTGAGTTCGGGGGCCTTCCTGGCCAGGGACTTTCGGAGTAAATCGTGCGGAAATATCGAGCAGGAGCCCTTGTCGTCGTGGCCGGGCTTCTGCCAACTTGATTGAATTGCCAGGAAGTCTCAGGCGAGAGCGCCGTTCCTTAGTTCGGGGGCCTCTCTGGCCAAGGTGTCTCGGGGCAAATTGTGAGGCAGTGTCGAGCGGGAGCCGTTGTCGTTGTAGCCGGGCCTCCAAGGGCCCACATTTACACTCAAGCCAACGCTCGCGCGGAAGTTGATTCGTTTTCAGAAACAGAAACATATAGCCTGCGTCGAGGCTAGGGCGCGCGGAACCGCTTCCGGAGATCACAAATGATAAATCTTTAGGAATGAGTATTCAACGCTCCCGCTCATTACTTCCTTTTGTTTTAATCGGGACCGGTGTTTTTGCTCGCCGCCGACAGCTGGCTTTCCAACAATCCTGGTGCTCCCGCTCGGTCTTTCGTTGCTTTTTGCTCAGGACCGGCGTTCCCGCCACGGCGCCGCAGGAGGCCTTCCCTGCAAGCAACGACGCTCCCGCTCATTACCTCCTCCGATTTTGTTCAGAACTCCCAGAGGCCTTGAGGCTTCCCCAGTCTCTGTGATCGGGCGGGTAGACTCTAGCGGGCGGGTCGGGAAGGCGGGCCCAGGCTGCCAGATCGAGAAACCGGGTTGCTGAAGCGCGAATCCTGCATGAATCGCGAGGAACTCTCCTAGCGAAAGCGCGATCCCCAAATAAGTCGTGAGGAAAGCCAAATCGACAGCGTGATTCCTGAGTGTCGAGGACGCGGCGTCGAAATAAATTCGGAGGAAGTCCCACGCTAGAGCGTCCCTGCATACGCTGTGGGGAAAACCTACGCGAGAGCTCGATTCCAGGAAAGATGTAACGAACCAGCTGACTGGAGCCGTTGGTGTTGTTGTTCGGGGCCCATCAACGCACTTAGAGCACGAAGATTTTCTTTGATAAAAAAGGTGCGAGCCTGGAGGGGTGCACTTCATTGAAAAACATGAATGTGCACTGGTGAGGTGATCAAGAATGGTAATTCTTCAACAGCGAGAGCAGAACAACAATCATTTTAAGACAGTTCGCTCTTAGCTGCTCGCGTGCCATTCAACACGTATATCCCAAACCTTCGATACCCGCCCTCTTCGTTTGCGATCGTACCCCTTTGGGGGTATATTTTCCTTACATGCAACGTGTATTGCATGCAGCTCCTACGGCAGGGGAAGAGAGGACGGATAAAAGGAAGGAACAGGGGGGAGAGAGAAGGATGGAGCACGAGAGGGAAAGAGAAACAGTAGCAGGAGGGGGGAGCTAGGAGCAGAACACACGTGGCAGAACCAGACAGGCAGATCGGGCGGGTAGACCCTAACAGGCTGGTCGGAAAGGTTGACCCAGGCGGCCAGGTCGAGCAGGCGGGTTGCTGAAGCGAGCGTCCTGCGTGAACCGCGAGGAAGTCTCAAGCGACCGCGCGATTCCCAAATAAGCCGTGATGAAATCCAGAGCAAGAGCGTGATTCCCGAGTGTCGAGGTCGCGGCGTCTGCATAAATTGCGTGGAAGTCCCACGCGAGATCGCGATTGCGGCATACATTGTGAGGAGGTTCCGCGCGAGAGTCCGTTTTTGGTATGCATTGTGAGAAACTATCAGGCGGGAGCCGTTGTTGTAACTCGTGGGCCAGGGGCGCAGTTTGACGCTCAAAGATTTCCCTTGTAAAAAACAGGGTGCGACCCCGGGAAAGGCACTTCAATTGAAAAATATAATGTGCACCGGGCAGAGGGGGATCAACCATAATTCTACGGAGTTGGTAGCTCAACAACAACAACAACAACAGCAGCAGCAGCAGCAACAACAATGATTTCAACGTTGTTACCTCTTGTTTGCCCGCATGTCATCCAACTAGTATAGCCAATATTATCGATACCCGCCCCCTTCGTCCTTGTTCGCACCCCCTTTGGGGGGGATATTTTTCCTTGGTTGCCACGTGAGAGTAGCGCAGCCTTGAAAACAGAGGAAGGGAGGGAGGAGAGGGGACAAGCGGGAGGGAGAAAGATGGACCACGACAGAGATTAGCAGGAGAGGGGCTAGGATCAGGCAAACGAGCGGCTGAAACAGGGAGGCGGGTCGGGCGGGCAGACCCTAACGGGCGGATCGAGCAGGCGGGCCCAGACGGCGGGGTCCAGAGGCTGGGCCGCTGAAATTCCAATTTTGCAGGAATCATCAGGAAGCTTTTAGCGATAGCGCGATTCCCAAGTAAATCGTGAGGAAGTCCAGAGCGAGAGCGCGATCCCTGGGTATGAAAAGCGCGGCGCTTCAATACATTCCGAGGAAAACCCCACGGGAGAGCGCGATTCATGAATACACTGTGAGGAAGGCATGCGCGAGAGCGCGATTTTCAACAAGTTGTGGGGAAGTGTCAGGCGCGAGCCGTTGTTGTGGTAGCTTGTGGGCCAACAGCGCAGCCTGAGCCTCAATTTGTTCCGCTTTAAGAAAAGACTTCGAGCCTTGGGCAGGGCACTTCGGGTGAAACAACACAATGCGCACCGGAGGAGGGATCAACAATAATTCTTCTCTTTTAGACATGATAGTTCAGCAGCGAACGAATGCACAAGTAGAATCGGGGCCACGGTATCCCACTTCACCCACGCACCCAGGGATAGTGTAAGATTGCTCGGCCCCGTCACTC